TATATGTATGTATTTCTATATTGGTTGATTGGTTGGTTGGTTGGTTGATTGATTGATTGATTGATACCTGTAGTACCGCACAAGGCTGTGGCGGAAGCTGCAAATATAAGAAACTATGGGAGAGGTGAGTTGTTGTGATGAATGGATGGCGGAGGGAACCCAGTGATGGATCGAAAGGTGGCTGAGGCCCTGAGTCTCGCTCTCTCTCTCTCTCTCTCTCTGAAATTCCCTCTGTCACCTTCTCTCTGTGTCTCTCTATCTGTCCCTCTGTCTATCTATATGTCTATCTATCTGCAGTGTAGCTGGAGTTGTTGTTGTTGTTGTTGTTGCTGTAGTTGTAGTGTAGCTGTAGTCTGGCGTAGTGTAGTTGTAGTTGTAGGTGTGGTGTAGTTTGGCGTAGTGTAGTGTAGTGTGGTGTGGTGTGTGTAATGTAGTCGCAGTTGCAGCTGTAGTTGTAGTGTAGTGTATGTAGTTGTAGTCTTGTAGTCTTGTAGCGTTGTCGCGCTGTATTGTTGCAATGTTGTAGTGTTGTAGCGGTGCAATGCTGTAGTGTTGTAGTGTTGTAGCGTTCTGGCGTTGTAGTGTTGTAGCTGTAGCTGTTGTAGTTGCCGCTGATGCTGTTGTACTTGTAGTTGTAGATGTAGATGTAGCTGTAGTGTAGTTGCAGCTGTAGCTGCACTTGTAGTTGTAGTTGTACTGGTAGTTGTACTTCCAGCTGCAGTTGTAGTTGTGGCGGTATTGAAGTTGAAGTGTTGTAGTGTTGTAGCATTGTAGTGTTGTAGCGTTATGGTGTTGTGGCGTTGTAGCATTGTAGTTTTGTAGCGTTGTAGTGTTGCAGTGTTGTAGCTGTAGCTGCCATTGTTGCAGTTGCAGTTGCACTTGTAGCTGCAGTTGCTCTTGTACTTGTAGTCGTAGTCGTGCTTGTAGTTGTACTTGTAGTTGCACTTGTAGTTGTAGTTGCAGTGTAGTTGTAGTTGTAGTTGTAGTCTGGTGTAGTGTAGTGCAGCTGTAGTTGCATCTGTAGTTATAGGTGCAGATGTAGTTTTAACTGCAGTTTACTGTGGACTAGTGCAGTATTGTGTAGTGTGGCGTGTTGTAGTTGTAGTGCAGTATAGTGTGGTGTGGTGTAGTGTAGTTGCACTGTTGTAGTTGTGGTGTGGTAGTTGTAGTGTTGTAGTTGTAGTGCTGTAATTGTAGTTGTAGTTGTGGTTGTAGTTGTAGTTGTCGAAGGAAGTTTAGAAGTCAAACTTCCGACAATTTGGACAGATGAAAAGCAGAGGTGGTAAGAGTCAAAGAAGAGAAGAGAAGAGCAGAAGAGAGAAGATCAGAGAAGAGAAAGAGTCAGAAGAAAGAAGATGCAGGTGCCCGAAAAGGTAGGAAAGTCGCGATTCACTGTGTTTTTCCAATGATTTGAGGCTCCGCTGGCCAGATGAGAGATGAAAAATTGCACGCCGTTGTGGCGCGAAGCACATTTACAAGTCAAAATGCTTAAAACACTTCACAGATCTTCACAGCACTTTTGGAAGTTGAGATGTCGAAAAAGTGCACGTTGTTGTGGCACGAAGCACATTTCGAAGTCAAAATGTGCAAAACACACCATTCTCGGACCACTTTTGGAAGTTGAGATGTCGAAAAAGTGCACGCCGTTGTGGCGCGAAGCACATTTCGAAGTCAAAATGTACAAGACACACCATTCTCGGACCACTATTGGAAATTGAGATGTCCAAAAGTGCACGCCGCTGTGGCGCGAAGCACATTTCGAAGTCAAAATGTTAAAACACCACATGTTCGCACCACTTTTGGACGTTCAGATGTCGTTCCGCGTGGCAGGCGCAAGGGGTTGTGCACCTTGTCAAAAGTGACCAAAACGTGAGGGTTTTGCAGCATTTCCAAAAGCGATGGTAGGCGTGGGACATTTGAAGAGGATGTGCAAAGATGCATTTGCCGTGGCAGGCGCAGTACAAGAGACATGTTCATCAGAGCTGTTAGGAGGTCCGGGCGCTGATTTCCTGAGAGTGGTTGCATTTTGGAGTATCAGATCTTCAGGTTTGCTGAGATGATTTTGTGTGACAGGTGCAGCAAGTCGTATCACCTGGCATCACTTTTTCGTGGCAGGCGCAGTAGTTTAGACAAATGGACTGGAAAAATCGCAAGAACGCATTGGTACGAGGCCGTCAACTCTGCACTAAACTTTCCATTTTTTGATGTTGTGAACTTTAAAGCAAATAGGAAGTCTCGCAAAGTGCTTTGTTTTTGATGTTGTCAAGTCAAGTGCAAAAAATGAGGCAGTCTTGCTGACAATTGCTGATAGATCGATACATCGATCGATATATAGATAGATACACTCGATACATAGATGCATAGATACATAGATCGATAGACCGATAGATAGATCGATAGATCGATAGATCGACAGATCCACACATCGACAGATCGACAGATCGACAGATCGATAGATCGATCGATCGATAGATGGATCGATTGATAGATATAGATAGATAGATAGATAGATAGATAGACAGATAGATAGATAGATAGATATTTATACATAGATAGATAGGTATTTATACATAGATAGATAAATAGAATAGATAGATCGATCGATCGATCGATCCATCGATCCATCGATCCATCGATCCATCGATCGATGGATCGATGGATCGATGGATCGATGGATCGATGGATCGATGGATCGATGGATCGATGGATCGATGGATCGATGGATCGCTGGATCGATGGATCGATGGATCGATCGATCGATCGATCGATAGATAGATGGATGGATGGATGGATAGATGGATAGATGGATAGATGGATTAGGTAGGTAGGTAGGTAGGTAGGTACGTAGGTAGGTAGGTAGGTAGGTAGATAGTTAGGTAGGTAGGTAGGCAGATAGATAGATAGATAGATAGACAGACAGACAGGCAGATAGACACACAGACACACAGACACACAGACACACAGACACACAGACACACAGACCAGACAGACAGACAGACAGACAGACACAGACAGACAGACAGACAGACAGAGAGAGAGAGAGAGAGATGGATACATAGATAGATAGGTGGGTAGGTAGGTAGGTAGATAGTCACAGAAAGAGACAGAAAGAGAGAGAAAGAGAGGAGACCTCAACCACATGTCGGTCCATCAGTGGCTTCGCCCTGCCATCCCTGACTCACAACAACCAACCTCTCGTCCTATAGGCTTCCTGTTTTTGAAACTTCCGCCACCGCCTTGTGCGGTACTACTGGTACTTGCAGTTGTAGTTGTACTTTCAGTTGTAGTTGTAGTTGCGTTGTGTAGTTGTAGTTGTAGTTGTAGTTGTGTAGTGCAGTGTAGTTGTAGTTGTGTGTTGTGTTCGGCCAAGCCACACGTGTAGGCGGCTTGCTGCGCTCCGTGGGCCAGATCGGAGCTTTTGGGGCCGTCCTTGCATCAACAACAATGCTGGGGAAAGGATCAATGGATTGGTGCATAGCAATCCCGAGGAAAGTAAAATTTTACAAACATCACAAGTAGCACATGTTTGTGTAATCATTTTGGGGGTTACGAATATGATAAGCTTAAAAACTACAGGAAACATGGTTTTCGCACAAATATAGGGAGTTCCTGCAGATGTTTCCTTAAAGCAATTCTCGGAGATGATGAAAACCCTAAACAATTGGGATAAATGAGATGGTTTTACAGTAACCAATGGTGACTGGCACGTAAATGCCAGATAAACCCTAGTAAACTTTGGAATGAATTGGATGCTCTTAACCAAGTGACTAATGATGGATACATGGCATACACGTCGGGTACTTTGAATCAAAGAGATGGAAACCAGCGAAAACTGATAAAATGGATGTCAAAAGGCATGCAAACGGGTTATCTACACTTACACATGCAGTACATATATGCACATATCTGAGCACGTATACATATCAAAACTCCTAAAATCAAACCTGGCAGAATCAATACATAATTATATATACACTATCATTTTCACGGTTAGATATAATATATATATATATATACACAAATAAAAATAAAGAAAATAAAATAAAAATGATAATATAATAATAAAGAGTAATACAATAAAGCATGGTATAATACAAAAATAACATAATATAATATAACTTAATATAATATAATACGGAAAATGAATAAAACAAAATATAATACAGGAAAATACTATCATATGATGTAAAATAAAAAACAACGCAATACCAATGCCAATACCAATACCAAGACAATATCATATAATGTGATATAGTATAATGTGATATAGTATAATATAATTTGATATAATACAGTATAATGTGATATAATCTAATACGATAAATAATAATAATAAATAATAATAATTTTAAATAATAATAATAATAAATACATAATTATTTTCCTACTATCCTTATTATTAGCATACATACAATAGGACAACTAGCAACAACTCCGACGGAACCGTTCCTAGGCCGCGATCTTGGCAGGCTCGAAGTCCTGGAACTTCAGGCGAGGTTTGAACGAAAAATCAATCCAACGTGGCTGGGAGGTTTATAGCCAGGAAAATCACCTATAAATCATCAATAAATATGGTCTATATGTTTTAAAGAAAACATAGTATCAAATTATGTTGCAAGAATGGAGATATACCTAGGCTACAATCACGGGGATAGTCATGACAGTGCAATGGGTATCATCAATCCAGCATGGTGATGTCCCACAGCAGGTCATTATCACTAACTATATATTGGTGGGAACATCGAGTTGGGCCATGTTCAACACGCCAAAAAAACTAATTGGCTATACCGTAGCCTCTAAACGAGATGTGGTTGATCATCATCCTTCCCCTTCGATTGTCTGTAAAACTGTGAATAAATTCGTCCGGAAAAAAGTTGGAAAATGTTGATGCCAACCAATTTATAGGTTTTTCTGAAACTTGGACCCCCTGGACCCTCCCACACAATTGTGACTTTTAAAGGACGGCCGCAAGGCCTGGTTCCCACGGGAACAACTGAGGCACTGCAAGGCCGAGGCGAGGGAGCCTGGCGCCGGGCAAGCGAAGATTGCGTGTTCAAGGCCCAAGGAACTACTACAGTATATGTTGTATATACTGCGTGTATAAATATATATATATATGTAATTATTATGCATATATATATCATATTATATATATACGAGTGTATATTAGTGTATATACTGTGTGTGTGGGAGTGTGGCCAAGAAGCTTCCAAAAGACGAATGGACATGTGAGACGGAGAAACTTTAGTCACGGCGCACTGCCAAAGCCAGCCCCCAGCAATAGAACTTCGTGCCATGCAACAGCGGTTTTCTTGGAGCCTGCGGTGTCTTCCGCAAAGAGCGTGGTCTTGCTTGTGGGACCAAAATTGGCAACATTTTTGGGGACCAAAAGCATGTTTGCGAGAGTGGTTTTTCCTTGCTAGACACAGACAATCAAACACGACGGCGGAGTGGTAACATGGCAAGATATATTATAGATGTACGGGATGCGCCAATGCATAATGTTGAGGGTGTGCTTGGAAGACCTGAAGCCGTGCTACTGCGAGGGCCCATTCAGAAAAGCAATTTTTGCTTGAATTTGAAGCTCCATTTTCAGAGGCGGCTTGCACACACTGAATCTGCAGCGGGGTTGAAGTAAGAAGAGACAACATGAAGCTAGAAAGACACACAAAGACCCCCTTTGGAAAAGCCCGGGAATACAATGCTACCAGAAGAAGCACAAATGCTTGCCTTGTGGTCTATCTAGGCCCGTTGGCGGGGGCCGCTACTGTAGTTTCCAGCAAAAATGGTCGTCACCACTGGCGGCCCTAACAAGCTGCCGCAGTCAGATTCCCCGGCTTTTTATCGGCGAAGCAGGGCCGCAGCGGGCCCAGCACGGGCCACCACTTGCTATACCCACAGGAAGTGTGGTGATCTGTCGAACATGTACAAACGCGTCTTCGAACCGTAATACCTTCAATCAATCTCCAGCACAGTATAGAAGAGTGTTTGACACGATTGCCGCTCACTTACCTGAGCGATTGGGCATTTGCACGTGGAGTTGGGCCGTGGCGACTGCACCTGTGGTGCAGCATAACAGCAATACTGACCCACGGCTGTTGGTGTCGGAAAAGGAGCTATCTTTGCCGTCCACGTGGAGGACCCTCAATGTATATATATATATTCATATTCATATTCAAATTCATATATATATATATGTGATCAAAAATATAATCATACATAAATACATAATCATGTATATATATGTGTGATCATACATATATAATCATGTATATATAATCAAATATATAATCATATATTTATATACAATCATATATATATAATCATGTATATATATAATCATGTATATATATAATAATTTATATATAGTCATATATATATAATCATAAATACAATCAAATTTATATATATATATATCATCATATATATAATCATATATATATAATCATATATATATATGTGATCATATATATATATATATAATCATAAATATATAATCAGATATATATATATATACTCACATATATATATATATTCATATATATATATATATGTATGATCATATATATAAGCATATATATAATTAATCATACATATATATAATCATATATATATATTCATACACATATATATTATATAATCATACATACATATAATCATACATATATATTATATAATCATACATATGTATATATATATATAATCATACACATATATATATGTATAGATGTATATAATTATATAATCACACATATATGTATATAACCATATATATAATCATACATATATGTATATAACCATATATATAATACAGTATCTATGTGTGTATGTCCTTAGATCTAGATCTGTGTTCTGCAGCCAACATGGCCAGTCACAGGGGTACCTCCCACTATGCAACTTTGCCGCAGCATCTCTCAGGGATGATCGACCCAACCAAACCCGGTATGGCGCCTTGTGTGAAAATTCCGAGATCTCAATCTTCCTGCAAAGAGAACTTAGATTGGCAGTCACATATAGTCACATTGTAGCTTCACATCAACAGCTGCATGTTGTGGCTTGCAAATTCGATAGAACTAGCCAACTATACCCAGCTTCAAACCATCGTAAGATATCCTAACGTTGGTGTTTCCCAATCTTGGGCTGCCCCAAACCATTGATTTCCCCGTTCGAAATGGCCCATCCCCAGACCATAAAATTACCCATTTTTTTTGCATCTGTTTTGTATGATTGGATTCAAAATTAAGAATTTCGGGTTGTTGTTGGGTTTCCCCTTTTACCAGTACCAGTACCATCCATTACCTCCTTACCGCTACAGCGGCTGATTCTCCTCAAAGTGTCGTGTAGCGGATGAGCAGCGGCCACCAGCTCCTCGCATTGGCCAGCGGCTTGACACGTATGGATTTACCATCTATAGATTGTAGATAGAGAATCATAGAGAATGAAGTTCAAAATGGAAGTTCTGGTGTGAGTGGACAGATTGCGAAGCAATTTCCCACCTTGTCCCAACAATCAGATCCAAATACCTATATATTTTTGAGCATGTAATGTAGTGCATTGGTGACATTCACTTGTACACCCCAGCGAACTTGTATGAATCACTGTCACATCCGACACATACCTCCAACAACTGGGGATATAACGAAACATAGTTCTAAAATCATTCAAAGAAATTGACAAATTCATAACAGATCCGCACCTCTTGCCTGACCCCATTACCTTTTCGGCCGCCCCACGCCGCACGTAGCGATCCCACGGCACCTTCCATGCTGGCCAGACACTCCAGTGAGGATCGGGTTCATTGGACAAAGTGGCGCGGATATCCTGGCAGCGGCAGGGGCATCCTGATTATCGAAAACCATGGAAAGTTTTCCACTCCAGTCATTTAAAAATCCATGGGAAGGTCGAATGAATTTCCACTCCAGTAAACCATGATTGTTGATTATTTTAAACATATGAAAATCATCAAATCATCAAAATTCCCATGGGAAAACTCACCTGAATCCAGGCGTCATCCAACATCGATGAAGACCTTGCGACAACTCTCCACTCCGTCGGAAGCTGCACTCGATGCAGAAGATGCACTCAAACATCACTTCAATGGTAGATCATGTTACGGGCCGAAAGAAGGCCACAATTCACAACTGGTTGGTGGCGCAATAACCATCTTGAAAAATATGCGAGTCAATGGGAAGGATTATCCCATATATTATGGAAAATAAAAAATGTTTGAAACCACCACTTTGTCCACTTTGCTCTGCGCACTGCTTTAGTCTCGAAAGGAGTGCTTTGACTGTGGCTGATACGGGACAATGTCACACCGGAACAAGCAGGTGATCCAAAACCCTAGTTGACCGTCCAGCGGGAACAGCACCTAATTTGAGAAACCACCAGTCAGCGTTCTCCAACCGTTCATTCGAAAATGGGTGCGCCATACAGCTGGCATGCATACATATCATGTGGCTCTGTGGCCTACAGTACTGAGACATCACGTCGAATTTGGCACGGCGGCAATCACAGAACGGCAATTGTACAAAACGGAGACCGGAGATGAACGACTGCAACTCCCGGGAACCAAGTTGTGTCTCACTCATGGCCCAAACATCCCCTCGGGACATGTTCGCAACAACACAACCAGCATCGCTTTGGAGGCCAGACGGGTTGGCAGTTTCCAAGACAAAATTGGCAACACAAAAGGCATACACAGGACCCGGGGGAAATGCCTCCCCGACCCTGACAACACTGAAAAACACAAGAGGCACAACCATCTTCATTTTGGCAGACGACCATACTCTCGCATAAGACAGTGCCGATGCTAACCCCACCATCAGGAAAACAAAGTCGGGCATCAGAGCCACCATAGGCCAGTAAGCAGACAAAGGAGCAGTCCTGACACTGCACCAACCAGATGGCTCGCGCCCACCCCATCATTCACCTTCCTCTCTCAGACGCATGGACAACAAACCCCAAATGTGAGAGAGCCGGGTCTCCAACATAGCTTGAGTACTATGATTTTGCGTTTCGATCTGTCCATGCAACTGCTGAACCTGAGATGACAGCTGGGCATGGAGGTAGTTCACTCGCTGGGTCAGAAGGTTGGAAACTTCCACAAATCGGCCATCCATCTGAGACAAACCACTACAAGCATCGATCAGTTTGACAAAGTTTGCCCACGATGGCACAACATGATGGAGCACCTTGGTGCTGGCTCCACTGGTAATGGCAGGAACCAGAAACTGACGCACCACCACCGCATCAATCAGTGTCACTGGACCCCCTCCCAACAATCCACTGTACTTGACCAGGTTGCCAGTTGCTCGGTTCCGAAGCAAATGACTTTCAAGGGAGGAAACAAAGACCACCACAACGAAAACCAGGGAAATCACCCCACCAGCATCCACCTGACCAATGTCCATGGTCAGTGCCAAGGCGACAGCGAGAAACGTAACCCTCAACGCTCAGCTGGGACGGCCGCACCAGCTGGAAGGTGTTGTGCCCGCGGCTGTTTGAAACCACCAACCAGACAATATTACAGAACCTGCCACAACACGCATGAACCATTTAAATTGACTTAGTCTCTCCGATGCATTCCTTGTTCATCACTTTTGCAGTGTTGATAGACCACTTCCATTGCCATGCCAAGGTGCTGCAAGGCCCACTCAGCATTCAGAATTGCCTCTTCGGCTGCTAAGTACCTCAGCAGATTTCACATGGCGAATTGACCCCGCAGAATTCACAACAATGCACAACGTCCTCGAGAAGAGACATGTTGGAAAAAATGCTCAAAGGCAGCTGGGTTTAAGGGTAAAACAGAAGGCAACATGTTTTTGTTGCAGGTTGCCGGGTCCTTTTGCCAAAACACCGCAGTACTCACGCAAAAAGAAGTGAAGTCAGAGTAAACGACTACGCAAATCTGATGATCCTCCTGTCCTCCTATGTCCTCCTTTACATTCTTAGTGTGTTCTTTAACTTTGAACTCAAGATGATGTCATTTCTAAGACAAGCATGGGTACGCTCATGATATTCCAAAAAATATATTGGATGCGTATGGCTGACACCCGTGGCACACTCTTTTTCACACCAAAATAATCCTTTCTCCCCAATACTAACCCCCCCAAATAATAAACACCTCAGGTAGTTTTTATTACTAGGGGGTATTTATTATTTGGGTGCGAAGCTTCCCCCTAATAAAGCTTCCCCCTAATACTAAATTTGAAACCCTAATATAAAAGATCGACTTGTTTTTTCTATTTCAAAATCGATTAGATTTCCTTTCAAAACCTAATCAACATATTGCCAAAAATTAGATTTCGAAGCTTCCCCTCTAATACTAAATTTAAAACCCGAATGTGAAAACCTATTTTTTTCTATTTCAAAATCGATTAGATTTCCCTTTAAAATCTAATTAAAAAATTGCCAAAAATTGGATTTCGAAGCTTTCCCCTAATATTAAATTAAAAACCTCAATATAAAATACTTGTTTTTGACCTTAAAAGACGGACCCTGATCAAAAACACCCCAGGGTTGACTAGTTGTTACAATTAGGGGGTGAAACCCTGAAATGGTAGCTTCATTTTAAATTGTGTTCGAAAGGGGATCAATTAAAAATCAAATTGGCCAACCTCAAATTTTCCAAAAGTGGAGACGGACCCTTGTTTTTTGTTGTTTGGGGGGTTTAGTAATAGGGGGAAGGGATTAGATCCTTGTTATATTGGCAATGCGTCGACATTAGCTATATCCCAAACATGTGGATGTTTGTCTCTTATTTTTTATCCAAGTAAAAATATGGAGCAAAAGCAAAATGTCTTTGGTTCCGATAATTCTGATCTCAAATTTTGAAGATCGTTGGTTCCCATCCAGGAATGTTGTCTCCAATGTGGCCATCGACGAAGCCCATCTGCAGCCTGGCAGCTTAGATGAGTTGATCTCTCCACGACAGGGTCTCCTCTTCGGGAACTGCGGGAAAGACTGAGACCTGGGACGCGTCACTGCATAGGATTTACCGGATTTACCCCCAAAAGATCCAGATAGCTGAGTTTTTAGCACTAATTTAGTTCCTTGTTTCGTCTTTTCTGCGGCTTGCTGTACCAGTAGCTCCCTCAGTTAAAAAAAAATGATGGATGCAGCCAAAAAAAACATGTACGGCATGGCAAGTCTAATTGCTCTAATCAGCCAGTTGGATAGTTCATCAACGAAGAGTGCCCACCATCTATGGGAACTGGATCTCAAAATGTTTGATGCTTCTTCCCCACTGGGCGCCCACAAGAGCGTTCGCTCTCCAGCACGGCCAGTGTCCACATGTTCGCGGCCTCAGGTTCGCTCACAAGTCACAACTCAAGTCAATGGATTGGCTTATGGGAAATTTTGATAGGAAAGTCTCAGGAAACCCCAGCTTTTCGTCCCAAACATAGGAATGTTCGGATGATCCCTTCGAAAACAAACAATTCTGGGATCAAGCCATCTCAAGTCCAGGTCTGCGTAGTATCAACCCACCTGTTTGAAGGAGCCATTAGGGCTTGCTTCATCCAAACAGCATGGGGATGGAAGATAAAGAAAATGAAAGAATCATCTGATATAGAAGATTATATCTGATATAGTACAGTATGTACATAATATATAGATCATAGACATATTGTTTGAATAGATACAGTTACTTACCCCACCGACTAACATCTGATACCCACCATTTAAAAGTGATTTCCCAGTCCAAATTTCCAGCGGCTCAGCCCAGCAACAGTCTCTTGGATTTGCATCCAACCAACTATTCGCTAAAACATCGATGCTCGTGGCGAAAAGTGCACTGATTATATAGGCTTCCCATAAACATTTGGGTGGTTCCGGGTACCCCAAAATTGATGGTTTATAATAGAAAATCATATCAACATGGATGATTTGGGGGTACTGTACCCCATTTTAGGAAACTTCCATTTACACCACGTTGGGAAATGCTGGCACACTCCTGCTGCATTGTCATTTTGAAGAGGACAGCACAGGCCGGTTGCCCTTGACATCTCATTTCTTGGTGGAAACACATCGGAGCACCCTCAACAACATGTGACATCTGGCATGCCTCAACAACTTGACAGGTGCTTTCCCTTGGGCCGAAAGGTGTATGTAAAACATCGATGCAACTTGCAACACGTCCTGAGCCTGGAGGAAACAAAGGCTGACCAAATATACCTCCCAAGCCCACAGCCCTGATCATGTTTTGCGCAGCTCCTAGGGAGTTGTGTCTGAACCCTCTAAACCATGGAGTTTTCGTGACTGTATCACTGTACAAAGATCCGCTTCACCAGGGTGGTGGAAGGTTCACCGGACTGGAGCCAAGGCCACTTGTGCCACTTGTGATTCGTTGGGGAGGATCATGGCTCAGTGGTATCTTTTCCTACCGAGTTTCAATGAAAGCAACACCTGTTCTTTCCAGGCGGCCTCACCGCTGAGCTGCTAGAGGGCGGGATGACCTTTTGCGGATGATAAAAACATATAAGCCCTTCCTCCTAATAATTACTAAACGTCCCCCAAATACTAAAAACAGGCGTCCATCTCCAATTTCAGAAAATTTCAGATTGGCCAATTTGATTTTTAATTGATCCCCTTTAGAAAACAATTTAAAAATCAACCTACCATTTGTGGGTTTCCCCCCTATGTAATACTAAAAACTAGTCAACCCCGGGGTGTTTATTATTGGGGTCCGTCCGATTTCTTTTAGTTTTTTATATTTAGGTTTTTAACTTAGTATTAGGGGGAAGCTTCGAAATCCAATTTTTGGCAATAATTTAATCGCGTTATATAAAGAAAATTTATTGATTTTGAGACCGGAAAAAATAGTTTTTTTATAGTTTAATTTTATTAAATAGGGTTCCCTAATAATAAATACCACCCTAATACTAAAAACTACCTGCCGTGTTTAGTAAGGGGGGGGCGTTTAGTATTAGGAGGAAGGGATTATTAAAACTGTCATGGTTTCCAGTTGATTCTGGTTATTCCTCAATCAATTTTGGAAAGTCTCACTTTCAACGCGTGCCACTCATGCCACTGGCTCAGCGTCTGGTTCTCGAAGCAGGGGTTGGTCCCTGGCTCCCAAGCGCAAGCCAGGGATGAAAGCCGCAAGGGTGACGGGTGAGTCGGGTCGGATGAGTCGGCCCGAGCTAATGAGTGAATCAGAAATGACTCGTTTGGTGAGTCGGAAAGAACGAATGGGTGAGTCAGGCTTGTATAGGTGACTAGGAGTTTGAAGCCTGCCACGGCTCAACCGCACTAGCTCCGCCAGCAGGCTTTTTCCCCTGAGAAAATCAGGACGGCCTCCAGGACGATCATGTCCAGCCATCCGTGGAAAAAATCCAAACATTTCCGAGGATTGCGCTTTTGCGTCGTCTTGTCTTTCTCTTTCCTTCTACCAGGATTTCCTCCATGCAGGAGGATAATGTTCACCCTCATTCTGATCCTAGTTGAAATTCCGCCATTGGCCGTTTTTGGCCAAATCCTGGCCGGGAGCCTTTTGGAAGCAACTTTCTGCGATTTGGCGGCCCCGCGGCCGGCTATTGAATTTCTCTTCTGGGATCATTGGGAAACGGCCGTTTTTGGCCAAATCCTGGCCTGGAGCCTTTTGGAAGCAAATTTCTGCCATTTGGCGGCCCCGCGGCCGGCTATTGAATTTCTTTTCTGGGCTCATTAGGAAACGGCCGTTTTTAGCCAAATCCTGGCCGGGAGCCTTTTGGAAGCACATTTCTGCCATTTGGCGATGGTCTCCAGGACGATAATTTCGACCCTAATTTTGACCTTGCGCCCTTTCATTTCAATTTGAAACGTGACGGTCTCCAGGACGATAATTTTGACCCTAATTTTGACCCTGCGCCCTTTCATTTCAATTTGAAACGGGACGGTCTCCAGGACGATAATTTTGACCCTAATTTTGACCCTGCGACTTCTCATTTCAATTTGAAGCGGGACGCTCTCCAGGACGATAATTTTGACCCTAAATTTTAACTCTGCCCCTTCTCATTTCAATTTGAAGCAGGACGGTCTCCAGTGCCATTGGCCGCTTTTGGCCAGGTCCTGGCCGGGAGCCTTTTGGAAGCAACTTTTTGCTATTTGGCGGCCCCGCGGCCGGCTATTGAATTTCTCTTCTGGGATCATTGGGAAACGGCCGTTTTTGGCCAAATCCTGGCCGGGAGCCTTTTGGAAGCAAACTTCTGCCATTTGGCGGCGCCGCGGCCGGCTATTGAAGTTCTTTTCTGGGCTCATTAGGAAACGGCCGTTTTTAGCCAAATCCTGGCCGGGAGCCTTTTGGAAGCACATTTCTGCCATTTGGTGACGGTCTCCAGGACGATAATTTCGACCCTAATTTTGACCTTGCGCCCTTTCATTTCAATTTGAAACGGGACGGTCTCCAGGACGATAATTTTGACCCTAATTTTGACCCTGCGCTGTCTCATTTCAATTTGAAGCGGGACGGTCTCCAGGACGATAATTTTGACCCTAATTTTGACCCTGCCCCTTCTCATTTCAATTTGAAGCAGGACGGTCTCCAGTGCCATTCGACAATTTTGACCCTAATTTTGACCCAGCACGGTCTCCATGACGATAATTTTGACCCTAATTTTGACCCTGCGCCCTTTCATCTCAGTTTGAAACGGGACGGTCTCCAGGACGATAATTTTGACCCTAATTTTGACCCTGCCCCCTGCCTCTTCTCATTTCAATTTGAAGCGGGACGGTCTCCAGGACGATAATTTTGACCCTAATTTTGACCCTGCGACTTCTCATTTCAATTTGAAGCAGGACGGTCTCCAGTGCCATTGGCCGTTTTTGGCCAAATCCTGGCCGGGAGCTTTTTGGAAGCAACTTTCTGCCATTTGGCGGCCCCGCGGCCGGCTATTGAATTTCTCTTCTGCGATCATCGGAAAACGGCCGTTTTTGGCCAAATCCTGGCCGGGAGCCTTTTGGAAGCAAACTTCTGCCATTTGGCGGCCCCGCGGCCGGCTATTGAATTTCTTTTCTGGGCTCGTTAGGAAACGGCCGTTTTTAGCCAAATCCTGGCTGGGAGCCTTTTGGAAGCACATTTCTGCCATTTGGCGACGGTCTCCAGGACGATAATTTTGACCCGAATTTTGGCCCTGCGCCCTTTCATTTCAATTTGAAACGGGACGGTCTCCAGGACGATAATTTTGACCCTAATTTTGACCCTGCCCCTTCAGCAGGACGGTCTCCAGGACGATAATTTTGACCCTAATTTTGACCCTGCCCCTTCCCATTTCAATTTGAAGCAGGACGGTCTCCAGTGCCATTGGCCGTTTTTGGCCAAATCCTGGCCGGGAGCCTTTTGGAAGCAACTTTCTGCCATTTGGCGGCCCCGCGGCCGGCTATTGAATTTCTCTTCTGCGATCATTGGGAAACGGCCGTTTTTGGCCAAATCCTGGCCGGGAGCCTTTTGGAAGCAAACTTCTGCCATTTGGCGGCGCCGCGGCCGGCTATTGAATTTCTTTTCTGGGCTCATTAGGAAACGGCCGTTTTTAGCCAAATCCTGGCCGGGAGCCTTTTGGAACCACATTTCTGCCATGTGGCGACGGTCTCCAGGACGATAATTTTGACATTTCAATTTGAAACGGGACGGTCTCCAGGACGATAATTTTGACCCTAATTTTGACCCTGCGACTTCTCATTTCAATTTGAAGCGGGACGGTCTCCAGGACGATAATTTTGACCCTTATTTTGACCCTGCGACTTCTCATTTCAATTTGAAGCAGGACGGTCTCCAGTGCCATTGGCCGCTTTTGGCCAGGTCCTGGCCGGGAGCCTTTTGGAAGCAAACTTCTGCCATTTGGCGGCGCCGCGGCCGGCTATTGAATTTCTTTTCTGGGCTCATTAGGAAACGGCCGTTTTTAGCCAAATCCTGGCCGGGAGCCTTTTGGAAGCACATCTCTGCCATTTGGCGACGGTCTCCAGGACGATAATTTTGACCCTAATTTTGACCTTGCGCCCTTTCATTTCAATTTGAAACGGGACGGTCTCCAGGACGATAATTTTGACCCTAATTTTGACCCTGCGACTTCTCATTTCAATTTGAAGCGGGACGGTCTCCAGGACGATAAGTTTGACCCTAATTTTGACCCTGCCCCTTCTCATTTCAATTTGAAGCAGGACGGTCTCCAGTGCCATTGGCCGTTTTTGGCTAAATCCTGGCCGGGAACCTTTTGGAGCAACTTTCTGCCATTTGGCTATTGAATTTCTCTTCTGGGCTCAT